TCTAAAGGTGATGTACGCATGGCTAACAGGTATATGAAAAGGTGCTCAACAATATCAGTCTTGAGGGAAATACAAATAAAAAGCACAAGGAGATATCACCTCACAGCTGTTATGATGTCTATTATCAAAAAGAGAAGAGATAACAAATGCTGGAGAGGATGTGGAGAACAAGAAAACCATGCAGTCTGTTGGAAGCGTAAACTGTCACAGCCACTATGGAAAACAGTATGGAGGTTCCTCAAGAAACTAAAAAGAGAACTACAGTATGATCTAGTAGTCCCACTACAGGGTATATTCCAAAGAAAACAAAATCATTTCTCAAAGAGATCTCTGTACTTTCTTGTTCATTGCAGCATTATCCATATTAGCCAAATATGGAAACAACTTAGGTGTTCATCTGCAGAAGAATGGATAAAGAACACACACTGGAATATTATTCAGCCTGCAAAAAGAGTGAAATTGTGCCTCTGTGACCACATCAATGAATTGGAGGGTATTATGCTAAGTGGTGGGGGGCGGGAGGGATGGGGCAGCTGGGTGATAGACATTGGGGAGGGTATGTGCTATGGTGAGCGCTGTGAATTGTGCAAGACTGTTGAGTCACAGATCTGTACCTCCGAAGCAAATAATACATTGTATGTTAAAAAAAATAGTAGGAAGGGAAAAATGAAGCGGGGGACATCAGAGGGGGAGATGAACCATGAGAGACGATGGACTCTGAAAAACAAACTGAGGGTTCTAGAGGGGAGGGCGGTGGGGGGATGGGTTAGCCTGGTGATGGGTATTAAAGAGGGCACGTTCTGCGTGGAGCACTGGGTGTTATGCGCAAACAATGAATCATGGAACACTACATCAAAAACTAATGATGTAATGTATGGTGATTAACAGAACATAATAATAATAATAAAAAAGAAAGAAGCAAAACAGAGAAAAGGAAAAACTGCATAGTATCACTTATATGTGGGACCTAAAAACAAAACACAAAACAGTTGAACTCATAGAAACAGATTTTAGAGTATTGGTTGCCAGGAGCTAGGGGATGAAGAAAATAGGAAGAGGTTGGTAAAAGCACACAAACTTTCATTTTCACTTCAAATAAGGTCTGAGGATGTGATATATAACATGGTGACTATAGCTTCTAATACTATATTGTCTAATTGAAATTTTCTGAGAGTAAAACAACTGTTCTTAACCAGAAAAAAAAAGGTAAATATGTGAAATGATGAATGTGTTAATTAACTTCATGTTGGGGATCCTCTTTCAATGTATACCTATATCAAATTATCACCTTGTACGTTTTAATACAGGAATGTATTTGTTTCCTTGCAGTAAAAATTTAGATATCAAAAAAAATTTTTTGAATCTTTTCTTGGTGCTTTTAATCATAGGGAACACCTAACACATACCCTTGCAACAAGTGAAAACCCAAGTCTCTCCTTTTTATGGGCATCTATGTATTTATACCAGCATTTTTTAAATATTAGAAAGGCAAGAGGATTATAATAGGCAGGAAACTTCCCATAAGCATAGAAGTACAGGGGTTTCTGATCAGGAAATGCCTCTGAACAGCCTTCTCTTTTTCCTTCATGCATGTCTGCAACTCTCAAGCTCTAGCCTCTTCTTTATTCACTAATTTCTGAGGCACTTTGATGGTACAGAGAAACATGAAATTAGAGGGCAGAAGACCTAGCCTCTGTTCTGTCTCTACTGCTGTTTGCATGGCCTTGGACACAACCTTCATGAATCTGTTTGTTCTCCTACAACATGGTGGAGGAGGGCAGAATAATTCTTGCTTTCTAGGGATTTCTGCATGAAATACAAGAAAATATAGTTACCTCAAATTCTTTGCAAAAGAAAGGTCTACAGAATTGAGTAATTAAATGTTTTTCATGCAAATTCTGAGGAAGATAGTCTTAATATATTATCATCAGCAGGCTTTTTAAAATAACAGTAAGTTTGCAACTAAGTTTTATGTTTAGTAGTACCATCATGGCTCTCCCAACATTTGTTAATTTAAATGGTTCTACATACATACTGAGTGGCTCATTTATAACTGAAAGATTATTTAAGTATAAATGTTATTAAATTTAAAGCTACATATCTCTATCCTGTTTTGTCAAATAACCAGTATTTCAAGTTTCATCTTATATTAAAAGTTACTGAAATCTAAAACTTTATGATCTACAGGATGGTAGGAGTGGCATTTGGAGATAAATCTTATATTTCTCTATGTAGCCCCTAATTCACTTCTGTTCTCTAGGTAGTGTCTAATATAGGAAGCAACTGGGTAAGTAAACCAGGAAGGCACTTTCTTTGGACAATTAATGATGTTAAGGGTATATTCTGCCAAAAGAAAACCATGAGTCGAAGAATGGAATTTACATTTCTAAAGAGCTGCTTTAGCATGTTCCATCTCCTGGCTTAGGGGCTGACAATCCTACACTTTTTCTTTCACTATCAGCACAAAAATCTAGTGACAGTGCTCCTTATCTCAAAGATGAAGTTGTTATTTAAGCTCATCTATCAGACCACATGACTTGCTCCACCATCCTATGTGCTTATTGGAACTGAGCAGTTGGAATTGAGCATCCCTGCAGTGTTTATTGAACCCTAATCAAGTTATCTCATCAGTAATGGATGCCAGTTTTTCATTTCCAAAATAAAAACAGGCAAGTAGGATGAACTCGTGCCACTTCATGTCACCGTCAACTCCCAATTTTCTGATTCTCTTCCCAGTCAGTCTTCTGATCGTTAGTAAGAATTGTACTTGTTAATTTGCAATTCTAAACCATCAAATTATTTTTCTATAAAGTGTTTTATAACTTTTCTAGTTTTCGTACATTACTATTCTGTGGCTCACATAGATTTCAGTCATCATCTGTGCCACCTATGACATATGGAAGCATCATCTCATTTTTAAAATCTAGTGTTTTAATGTTTACAGAAATATATCAGAAGAAATTTTCTGAACTGCTGCTGGTCTCTTTTAGAGAAATTTTGTTTTCCTAAAATGTTGAGTTTCCCATCCTTAAGCATTCTTTCAGTGATCTTAACTAATCAAAATTGGAACTATTTCAGTAAGTTGCTACTGTATAAAAGGACTTTTTGAGTACCTTTACAATATTCAAAAGTGTTTCATTCACTTAATAAAACACAAACAATAAATTACAGTTTTCATTGTCATATTGTGGGAACTCAATACTCCCACTGGTCATTACACAGAAGATATTTCAATAAAGTAAAATGCATTAACTCTTGAGTATTTTTATAATTCTCAGAATTAAAAAATATCCTACATATTTAATTTTTTTAAATTTGTCCCTTCACTCAATAATTATGGGAGCCCTACTTGTATTGACTTCCTGTGTCAGGTAGTGAAGATAAAATGATTTATTATAGTCACAGTCCTTGTTTTCAAAGAATTTAGCGTCCAGCTGGAGTGGCATACATTAATTTTTAAAAATCACTCAAACGAAAGTAAAATTCAAATATTAAGAGCTACCTAGGAAGGTGGTATACAAGAAAGTATATGGAGGGAGAGACGAGAGACTTACTTATTATGCTTTATGATTTTGATGCTAATATTATGAAAACTCCATCATTAGAATCCTGTGCCCAGGAGTGAATGTCTCCAACATTGCCAATAAGTGACAGAGCTTAGAAAAGAATCAACTTTCATCAAATCATTTCCTATTTACTAAGGTGATTCTGTCAGAAAGCTCATGGAATAAGCTTCAGATAAGTTTCTGGCTGTAGTTCTGCCCCAAGTATCCTTACAATCTATTCATACATCCTTTGCATTAGCACCTCATTAATTTTTTTTTAAAAGGGAGGATAGAGTATAATAGTTCTTAAAATAACAGGAGAAGGTAATTATTATGGCTAACATTTGGAGTTACCTAATACTGGAACAGACTTTAGTGTTATTCAAGTTGGGAAATGTGTTTCTCAGAGTGTATACCTAACTATGTTTAGCTTCCTTTTTCATTTGCTATTTTGACCTGTAAAATGGCTTCATCACACTGGTCAGAAGATTACTTTTAGCAAAATGATCACATTTCCCCAACACTACTGTCACTATTAAGTCTATACTCCCCACTAGTAAATTTCCTCCTCCGTCTTTAAGATAAGCATAGAAATAACTCTGTTCACACCAAATAGTTCCATTATTTTAAAAGATGGAATCGTCATTTGGGCAAATAAATAAATAAATACTATTTTTGTATTATAGAGTACAGAAATTTCTATCTTTACTTTTCCAAAACAAACTATTCTTTTCCTATTTTCCCTACCAAAGTTACAGCCTTCCAACAGACATGAAAATGCACATATGTCTTCAGAACCTTAATTTTTGTACTTAGATTTGAATAGCATTTAGTGATATAGTCCAGGTTTTCTCTATTTTATATGTCCCCAAAAGAAAGGGTAGGGATAGATTGTTGTCAGTGTACTTGATAAATCTTGGTAGGCTCTATTTCCTATTGTAAAGTCAGGGGAACTTGATTTTCATAAGTGCATTTTAACTGTCCACTACCTTATTTTTTAAAAGGTGTGTTCATCTTATGGTATATGTGGTTCATAAGTTTTGGAAATTTAATATCAATATATTATGCCATTTGCCTCTATTTGAAGATAACAAATTATCCTTATTTAATTTTTTTAATAGTAAGGACTTACTGCAAATAGCATCAAATAAATTTATCTGCTTTGTTTGAGATGTCATTTATAGCAACTCATTTATTATAATGCCTAATAGGTGTTAATAAACATTTGTTGAATGAACAAATGAGTGAATGAATAAATGACTTTTGACCATACAGTTCAATCCACATATTAACAGTTACAGTGTAATATTTGTCATCGCAAGACATTTGCATCAAGCACTTTATAATCCAGTTTACCCAAAAAAAACCCTCCAGGTTAACAAAAGATTGATATGAATCTGATAATCAATGTTTAAAAGTACACATTCAGTAAAGAATAGGCTAATCGATACATACCATTATCAAAATATCTGACTGTTGAATTTCTGGATACACTGGGATCGAAATTTGCCATTAAAGGTGCTATGTACTGTGTGGCTGTAAGCATTCGATGTACAACTTCTCCAGTGTATATGAAACCTGTCATTGCAAAAACAAGAAATACGTTAAGGAAAAGCCCAGATAAAATTTTACCTCCAAACTTAATTGCAGTCTTATTTTGAAAGTAAAATATCGCAGTAGCTAAAAAAAAGGAACATAATTAATGTCTTAATGTCTGATCAATAATAGGTGTGGATTATGTAACAAAGACTTATAATTTTGTAGTGCCTTGCAGACTGGTAAAGCAGACATCTAGAATACGTACAATTTTAATTGTGGGAAAAGTGACTTTTCTGGAAGAGATCATTAGGCTAAAATGGTTAATACAGTAGGTAAGTAATTCAAATATTCAATCTGCCATTATTAATCTCTTGTTATTTTAACACTAGCTGAACCTGCAAGTCCTTTTTACAAGTGAATGAATTTTCATGATGTTTCATTGCATTTTCATGAAGTTTAACTGCATTTCTCCAACTGTAATCTCAGTTTGGGACATTTTAGAAACCGCACATGGATATCTTTAACACTAAGATGCACAAAATGTTCTGGACCTTACTTTCAAAGTTGAAAGGATGTTAAACACCCATGGAAAAACTTGCCCATTTCTGAGTTTTAATAATACTAGCACTCTATCAAGAAGAAAGATATTACATGTTGCAGATAAAATGGTAAAACATTGGTAATGCACAAATGCCTCTCTATTTAGAGTGTGATCAATTACAGCCTGTTCTAGTGGTTGGATACTGAGAGAGAATTAACTATGAAGAACTTTCAATAGCTCCTATGTTACAACCCTGTCCACTTCCAATTATCCACACTGGCTTTATTTATTTTGTGGATTATCCATGACAAATTATTAATCCTATACTGGCTTCTTGCCTCCAAGGTCTTTAGCTTCCTAAAAGGAGAGTCAGCTCAGGCAATATTAATATTAATATTAATCTAAGAAATGCACAATTAAGAACATATATGTAAGTAGGCACACACACATAAAATATGATAAAATAAAACCCAAAGCAAATTATTTGTGATAATGCAATTGTAATGTAATGTTTAGGCAATCACAGGTTAACTAGACAGCTGGGACTACTGTAGATCATTTTTCTATTTTCATAAGAATTAATGAATAAAACAAGCAATACTTAAAAAAACACAAAATTGTGTTAAAGCTTCTGTTACCTTACTTCATGGTCTGAATAAAGTTTTCAATGGTGTATTGTGGTCTTTATCATTTCAAATTTTCAGTTATAATTTCTAGGTAAGTTATTAGAAATTTAAATCTGCAGTTATTTATTTTGAAATTAATTTGTCTTTCTAGCAATGTCTTCTTTCCTTTGACTTCCTTTACATTTTTCATCAAGGGCATAACTGAATTTTAGCTATTTACCTTTAAAAATATATTTTTAACTAGCGAAATCTCTACCATGTATTTTAATCATTGATTATTTCTTGTTTCTCAAATGCCAAGTAGTATCTTTCAAATAAATTCCCTATGTCTTGAGCAGAATTTTGTACATTTGCAGTTTCACATAGCTCAAGTGTACTAAAAGATATTAAGATACGGTGATACAGTCATTGCTTTTATTTTATTTCCCCGTAAATTTTCAGAGTCACCATCAATGTTCAAAGTCAATATCACAACCCTAAAATTATCAAGATGAAGAGTAACTATTTTTCAGGACATATGATTTATTTTTTTCTCCTATCCTCACCTGCATGCCTTTATAATTTCACCATTAAGGTGGATACAAAAATTCTATAAAGAAAAGATTAAATTATACTCTGAGAATGTTCTGTAAGGGACAGTGGCTCTGGATAGTTATTTCTCTATTCTATATTCTCCATGTACTAATGGAAGAAACTTCGCTTAAAGAAGGGGGCTGTAATTCAAGGCAGTATGAAAACTGCAAATCAATACAAAATTAACTTTCCAAAGCAAGTCTAAGAAAAGCAGCTGCAAATCCCAGGAAAACAGTTGCAAAATGCAGGATAATTAATGATTTCGGATAGCCAATTCTTACTGTTAATACTTAAAAAAAGAAAGATACATATATATTTTTTATCCCTGAATGTTTCTATATAGATTTGGCAAAAAATTATTCTCCATTCTCCGTAACTCAGGTTTCAAATCATGCAAGTCCTTAACTGCTGCTTCCTTTCATCAGGAAAAAGTTTTCCGGAACCGTAATTTCCCACATTTCGAAGGTGAAGTCTCACACTGTTCATACAGAAACAATTAAAAATATGGAAGAATCTGTTAATATATAAAAACTTTAATTATAATTCTTGATTTTTCTATTATTGTAACATTAAAATAAATGATTGTTGCTGTTACTGTGAGTAGTACAGTTGACCAGTTACGGCTACCATGACTGCAAACATGTCTGCCCCTATTCTTCATCTGTTACCACTATTACCACCGCCACCACTAAGAACAATGTGAAAAATCACCCAAGGTGGCGAAAAACCCCACTTACTCCACAACATGAGTTGAGTTCTGAGAACAGTTGCTTGTTTTCCTTAGCCACGTTGCAAGCCAAGTCCTACTTCTTGGTGACCAAGGAGTGAAATGCTTCATGGGGATGGGTTCCACTTAAATCTCATTACATTTCTAAATTTTGAAAATGTCATGTCAGCGGCAGCTAATAAACTGAGTAAGAGAGAAAACTTACAGGCCTGCTGACAGCAGCCAAGTGTGATTAGGTGTTGAATAAGAACCTGCCACGCAAATTTAAGAGTCCTTTTGTGGAACGAAACTTTTCCAAAGCTTCAAAGGCACTTGGAGCTGCCGCCATCCCATTCAGACATTTACCTCTTTTCTCTAGTTTTTTGGGGGGCATGCTTAGTTGCAGAGAAACATACATTATTTCATTTTTCTGATTGTTCACATTTTGGAGCAGTTCAAGCAAAATATTTTTATTACTTTTTTCAAACTTGTTTGTAGCCATGTGAAGGGCTAATCATAAAATATCTCCTTTGATCACCACATACTTCTTATTAAAAAGGAGTTTGAGGAAGAAACAACCTGTTTTCTCTGTGAAAATTCCAACATTATACTTTAGAACACAGTTGTAGTCACCTCAAATCCTATTCCAGCCTCTGTTCGTTTAATTGGCAAATTCTAGAGATAGGTTTACATTTGATATACCTCTACTGCAATCCACAAATGAGACTTAAATAGGTAGGTGAATGACATATGATTACAGCATTTATTTAATGATACAAGCAAATGACATCCTAGTGGTGTGACTAAGTTACTCGACATCTTTGTGCCTCAGTTCCCTAATCTGTTAAATGGGGGAGTAATCATTGGGCTGTTGTGATGGTTGAATGAGTTGATACATGAAAAGCACTTAAAAACAGTGTTTAAGATAAAAATTTGCAGAAAACAAGTAATCAATTAAATTCCTTCTAATGTTTACTTCTTGAAGTCTTTTTGTGTCTAATGTATACTAGTCGATTGGACTTAAACTGGGATGTTTATGTGACTTCAAAATTGTGCTTCATACCCACATGGTATGATATGGGTTTCTTTGAATTATTCTAGTTTGGATTAAGGCACACCACTGACTCTAACTACAGGGCAACAGATAACTAAAAACCTTAATGCCTAAAGTTCTACATTTGAGATAGATTCCCTTCCCTTACATTCCGAATGGAGCAAGCACCTTGTAAAAATATTAACAACCTATTGGCTGCAAATGGTTGTTTCATTTAACTGAATATGTCATAGTAGTAAAGGCTATAATTGCCTGTGAAACATTCTATGAAACTTTAATGTGTAAAGGGCTACATAAAATATTTTATTTCCTCATCTTTCAGTTGATATTTTTGACCCCGAGGAAAGGTTGGAGCTAATGTATATGCCTGTAGGGCGCTGAACATTGATAGTTAAATGCTGCCTTGACAGTACAAATGACTAGTGTATGTCACCACTGTCACCTGCGGGACTTGCCAACTATGATCCTTACACGCTAATCAAATAGATCTGAAATTTATGGTCCTTGTTCCATAAGGATTTAGAGCCCTGATTCCTCCTACGGACCCCTCACTAACTTGATATATGATCTGTTCCCTTTCACCACCCTATTTCACTGGGTCGTGTTTGTGGTTATTGTTTTGTCAAATCACTCAGTATTTGTGGTGGACAACCTGCTGGAAGCAAACAAGTGCAGTCTGAGCATAATTCAATTTACATTCTGCACAAATGCCATTTTATGAATCATGACACATGCTATAAACTACCCCCAAGACAAATACTTGTTTGTAGTGAAGTCAGCCTTTTAAACAAAACCATATGCGGCAGCAATTGCTAATTTGAAAATTAAGTTGTGGTAAGTTATCTGGTAATGTAACCGCCTGCCAGTGGCAACTGTACAATGACAGGTTTCATGTCATGGGCTCTCTCTGGACAAAATGGCTGCTAGCAGATCTCACAGTTCACTGTGAGGAGACTGGTTTGTACATGCAACCTAGACGGTTAAAGAAAGAAAAAAGATAAAATAGCATTTCTGAGGTTCTCGTGGGCTTACTAACTACTGGCTCCTGGGAAGTAACCCATAATATTGTCACTCACCAAATATTTTCTCTTTACAATTCCAACCAGCTGTTAAGGTAAAACATATCAAATATATTTTCTATAATAAAAAATTTAAAATATATATGTTAAAATACATCACATCTTATAGACTCCTTTATTCCACTGGCTTAAGGCACCACAGGGAATTGCAAATCACAACAAACCCATCCCTTGGAAGAAAAAAAAAGCAACAAGTGACAAACTTGGTTATTGGCTGCAAATTATGTTCATGAAATTACCAATGTCGAGATTTATGTTGACCATATAAAGTGCCTCTCTCCAACTCCAGAAAGAAAGAGAAGGAGCCAGAATTGTGTAGATGAGGAAGAGAGACTTTTGAACTGCTAACCAAATTGTAGCCTATGGTTCTTGCCTTCTCCATCTTGTTCCTCAAATAAATCAATGTGACTTATTCTCAATGCAGGTTCATTCCTAGTGGCCATTGTCAACAGCACCCTTC